TAAATTTTGTTGGGCTTCTCAGAGATTGGTACCAGTTGCTACAGGTATACAGGATATTGGGACATTATTGTCGTTTAAGTCGTGTAGTTTTGAGGTATACATATATGTTGAGAAGTAGAAGTGACAGGCAGCTGCCTTGTGGTAAACCATTATAGATGTCGCCAGTGTTATTTAAAATTTTTAAAATTCTGTAAGCAAGAAAGTTTGTGATCAACATTTAGTTCAGATAAATGGCCCTAATAATTTGTATATCCACGCAGTTGTACGCATTAGAGATGTCCGTTAAGCAGAAAATTACCTGTTTTTTGTGAGAGGTTTGCAAATTTATGTGGTGTAGGATATGATTGACACATACAGCAGACGATTTGGTTTTTCTGTAAGCAAAATAGTTACTGGGTAGGATGTAGTTGTCTTCCACAAAGTAATCCTGTCTGTTTTTAATACATGAGTTAATAATTTTGAGCAAAACTGAAATTAAAGCAATAGGTCTAAAATTGTTGAAGTTATTTAGGTTTCTATCCCTCTTGGGAATTGGGATTATTTGATGGTACGCCAGTGGTTAGGGATTTGGTTAGAGAGGAATAGGTAATTTAAGGAGTTTTTTAAGGAATTCAGGGTTGGTTCCGGAAGGTACCATTTTGTACGTTATTTTATCATACCCTGCAGCTGAATTTTTTCTCTTTTTGTTCAATCTAGTTTGTATCTCTTCAAAAGAAAACGCTAACTTAGGATCTGGAACTACCTCTTTTTTTAACGCATTATTCTCGTGATTCCACTGATTATTACTATTTTGACTAAAATCGCCTCTTAAAGCTTTGACAAAACGCCGTACGTTCCTACCCTTATCCAAATTTATTTCCTCAACTTTGCTGTTAAAGTTGCCGTTTTTGGCCCTTTTGATTTTGTCATAAGATGTTCCAAATTGCTTGGACTGGGAAAATTTCTCACTTTCTTGGTGGCAGCTGTTAAAAGTTTGAACATTTTGGATAGATCTTCATTCCACCACGCTTTGGGAACCCTCTCCTTAGTAATAGCATCAGTGTTGCCACTAACAATTTTTTCCCCTACCAATTTTCTTCCCAAATCCGACCAAAATCGTTTACAACCTACCAAATTAATTTCATTTACAAAAAAGCATTCTGAAAGCGTACAATTCATTTATTTAAGATCGACTTGTAAATAAAAATGACCCGCGCTATGAGTGGTAATTTATTGATTTAAATTTACTTTTAAGGAATTAAACTTATTGCTACATAACATGTACCCCGCACACATATTCTGAGCGTTCAGAATATATGAGTCCGAAAGGAGTCCTAGGTAGGTTAGAAAACCTCTCTGAACTTGGCAGGACAACTTTTTCTCCAAGCAAAAATTCCTATCGCATAATTTGCCGTTACCCAGCAAAAAACACGATTACCACAGAAGCGAAAGTGTAAACGAGCTAGGCGATGGGAATCGCTTACGCTTTCGCTTCAGGAAGGCCTTATTTTAACATGGGCATGTCATTGGCGGTAAGCCCTTACCCGCAGCATTACCTTCAAACGAAGGGAGAACGCATGGATAAACAGAATCCAGAGAAGCGAATAAAAAATGCCTTACAGAGAAACTAATGTATTTAGAATGCCCAGATGAGTACATACTTATTTATATTAAATCAGAAAATGTCTTAAAAGATTAAAATTAATTAAAATTTTTATAAATCAGTTTTTATACAAAGATATATATGTATTTGGATATTTAGATTTTACTTAAAAATCGGTATGTACATACATGCATATTTAATTAAGCTTAAAATTGTACTTCCTCACTCATGTACTTCACTTCATTGACTGACTTCAACTTCGCTGCAAATTGAACAAAGGAAAACATGATTTTTATGCGAGACAAATTTCCACAGAAACTAACGGTAGAAAAAGATTTTTTTGATATTCATTCTATTTTTCAG